TATAAATTGTTGTTGTTCTTCCGCTCTACTTCTATAAAATATTTAAGAGCTTATGTCTAGGAGACTCGGAGGAAGAGAATGGCATAGTCCAATTAGCAAGTACTCAAACCACAATATCGTGTACAAGCCGGTTCTATTTAGCGAGGACACGGCGACAGAGCAAGCGAGAAAGAGAGAAAGAGAGAGAGTGAGTGGAATAGTTGGGGTGGAATGGTGGGTGTACAGACTATTGTCCGTTGTATTGAATAGGGGATTCGCTCGCTGCGGGCTCTGAATGACAGCCATCCATTTAGCATAATGGATAGCGTTTCCCTGAGTGACACCCAAGTGGCCTATGGCTCATGGCTCACGGCTAAAACGTTAAACGTTTCCCTTGAATACAGCTTTTTACATTGTTGCAGCCTGTTGCTAGAATGTGTCCAGAAGCTGTCCATCAGAAATCTGAGAGACAAACAATGCGATTCTATTTCACAATCTCTTAATACACTTGATTCAATATACATATGTATATCGAAGTAGTTATTTAATATTTCAATTAAAAGACTATCTATAAATATGATGTGTGTGGAATACAGAATAGATAAAGATAAAGATAAACGAAACTTTTTTGGCATATTTGAACAACAATATTTAAATTCGAATTTGGCTTTCATTATTCATTAAATAAGTAATTTCACTGACTGCTATATATAAAGCTCAATAGAAATAAAATAATAAAAATTAGAAAACAAAAACAATTTAATAAATAATCTAGTGAAAAATCTACATTAAATGTTTACCTAGTGAAACTTAAAAAAACAAATTTTAGTTTGAATGCATTTTTCTTTTTAAGTTTTTGACTTGGGTTGGGAATTCTTTACATCCTAGAATTAAAAAAAAATAGACAAATATATAAAATATATAAAATGATAATCTAATTTTAGGCAAGTGAAATAGAAATAGAAATTATTCGTAAAAATTGAATATTTTCTTTTTATGAAGAGAGGGTATTTAAATTTAAGCTATATTTGTAACGAGCTTAATATTTCTAATAATGAATAAATTAATAATAAAACATTTTTATTTGTTAAAAAAAAAAAAACGAATACTATTGCGATCGCGTTAAAGTAAATCAAAATAATTTTAAAAGCTTTCATAATTTTTCACAAATAAATTAGATATTTTAATGTCAGTCTAATTTTTATTGGACTTGAATTAAAATTTAATTTTGCGAAAGATGTAATTTTTGATTTATAGTCAATGTCAGCTGAAATGCTGAATTTTTCCTACGAGTTGTTGTTGTTGTTGCTGCTGTTGCTGTGGCACTTCCATGGTGCATGCTTTGATTGCATAATGACATAATTGACCGGCATATTGGTCGAGTGTACCCCATGTGACACACAGATACATCAAGTGTGTCTGTGTATTTATGTGAGTGTGTATGTGTGTCCGCCAAAGGTCAAAGAGAACAAACACAGAGGAGCACAGAAGTGAAAAGTGCCAAAGCAATAAAGCGAACCGCTGCCTACGATACTCATACTACAAATATAAATACATATACATATATGCATATGTATGTACACATGCATATGTGTGCATGTGTGTGTGGCTCGCTAATGTGGCGACAAAAGACTTTGATTAAATCCACAACTGGCACAGCTTGACATTTATCAAGATTTACGCGCAGTGCGCTTTACGTAACTGCAAATATCCAGATAGACTATGGGGCATTGCAGGCAGGCAGGGGGGCAAGCAGCCAGGACTCGACTTACCCCAGCTCTCGATAGTCCTGCCAAAGTACGAGTTCTCCTCGTCGTCGTAGATCATCTGCTTGATGGATTTCTTCTTGGGCATCTCCGGCGGCCGCGAATAATACTGTTGAAAGCCATCGATGCAATCCTCGGTTATGGTTGGCATTTTCCTGTTCTGTGCCACGACGGAATATCCTTATCGAGTCTATGTATATAATTTGTATATCCAATCCAAATATATATATGTATGTGGGTATATCTATATATTCCTTTGGCTGCTCCTCTCGGCTGGGGCACGCGTTCGCACGGCTACTGATCGACACTTCCCGTTCTAGAAATTGAACTCAACTGAGTCGACAGCTCGTGCCAGAAGCCAATCCAATCCAAACCAAATCCACAAAAACTCGCAGAGCTGCGTCGTCGACGCCTGCGTTTCAAGTCGCAGGCGTTGATCATCATCAGCATGCCATCATTATCGCCATTGCCATGATCATTATCATCTGCAAGCGCGATCATCGTGTTGCACGCTGAATAAAGTATATTCGTGCCTCTCGCTTTGACACACTGGCCGACGCGTCGCTGGGGACACAGACAGATTTTCTTCTGCTGCCTTCGCAACGTCGGCGTTGACGTTGACGTTAACGTTAACGTTGACGTCGCTGCCAACGTCTCATATGCAAAATTGTGCGACGTGTTGAAAGCAACAGCAACAAGTGTCGGTCTTAATCAAGATACATTCTGATTTACATTTGCATTTATATCATTCACAATATTTAGTTATATAATATATATATATATAACGATATATATATTTACTAATAATATTCTTATATAAAAAGTAAATAAATTAGAAATCAGAAATTTTGAAAGAAACAGTGATTCAAAGGCAGAACGAAGATAGAATTGAAACTCTAATATGCGTAGTTCGCTACAAATCAAACTTTGGTAAACTCTTTGAACAGACATACTATTATTTATCAATAAAACGTATATAGAATGAATAAAATAAGACTTAGATCCCTTAAATATCCACAAATATGCACGTATGCAAATAATTGAATATATAAATTCCAAACATAAGTAGATATAAGAAATAATACCGAAAAATTATACGTCTAATAGAACGCTCCAGCTCGGTTAGCAGTAAATTCGTCTGAATAGTTGAGTTCAATGTCAATTAGCTAAGAGTTAGACTAAGGCAGCTATTTATTTCATTATGTATAGTTAAGCAGCAAACAAGAGACTCAGACAGACGCTCATTAGAATATGCCCCATTAGTCTAACATTATTTATACTATATATTTGTTATAGGATATATACTCCACAGTCCAATGAGACGTGGCAAAATACGCGCGTGACACAATTTCGCCTAATTGAATTTGGCGACTCTGATTATGCTTACTGTTCAAGTGAAATATACATACACATATAAATATATATACATACATATATCTGCTTATACTTGTAGAATATACAAAAATTCATTGAGCAACCTGAAACGAAGTCAAGTAATTAAAATGGAAAAGATTCACAGTTCATCGGATCTAATTGCCAGATGAAATATGATTTCCTTTGACACTGAGCGCACTTTACAGTTACTAAAGAGCAACGCTGATTGCCTTCGACTGTAGCTAAGCTCAATTTGTTGCTCTTACTACTAATATTATTATTATTATGCTTGCTCGCGTATGAAAAGAGCAGACGTATTAGAATTTTTATCACTTCTATAGACTTGCTCTAGATACAGCTCTACTCCATAGGCAG